AATATGCAGATGGGCTGGGGTATTCTCACTGGCCTGGAATGTGAGAATCCCTGGTTTAGATCTCCAGTACCATTAAAAAAAAAAAAAAAAAAGAATAGGGAGAGGCTTTTCTGATAGGATAGCATTTTAAGGAAGACTAAAAGAAGAGAATAAGTACATTAGTCATTTCAGAGAAGAGCATACAGATGCAACGGTCCTGAGGTGGCAGAAGGCTTGGCATACTGAAGGAACCAGAGGAACATATTTTGCTGGAATTAAGTAAGGTAGGGGTAACCTCAAGGTCTTACAAGCAGGATGACTTTACCATTAAAACCAGGACACTATGAATGGTCAATTATATAGAATAAGGTGGGGGTTATTAATAAAATATCCAACGGAACTATCAGAGGGTAGACTGGCATTTATGGTCGCCCTACTTAACGACTGTAATAAAGACTTTGACTTCTATGAAAGAGATGGAAAACCTTTAGATGATCTAATGCCATCTATCTATTCACTTACCTACCTACCCGGCTACCAACCAACCAACCAACCAAACAACCAAGCCCTCTAGAGAGGGCTTCCTTCCCAGCCCTCAATTTGGCAGATTTCTATTTTTTATTTATTTTGGGGGGTATCAGGGAGCCACATCCCCAGCCCTATTTTCTATTTTATTTAGAGACAAGGTCTCACTGAGTTGTTTAGTGCCTCGCTTTTGCTGAGGCTGGCTTTGAACTTGCAATACCTCTGCCTCAAACTCCCAAGCCGCTGGGACTATAGGCATGGGTCACCACGCCCAGCAAATGGTTCCTTTATTAATGTCTGAGTTTTTGTATAATTTTTGGTTTGTCTGTTTTGGGTTTCTCCCTCAACCCCAATATATACTACGCCTAGTAATTTACCACACTGACTACTCAGTTACATCCTTGGCCCCAACCCGTCCCTTTTTGAGACAAAAAGGCCCAGCTGACCTTGAATTTGTGATCCTTACACCTCAGCCTACCAAGTAGCTGAGATTATAGAGGTATGGACAACTGTGCCTGGATTGTTTTTAGGGTTTTAAGCAAAAATATCACTGAAAGATTCTAAAATATACTAAGGGGTAACTAATAGAAACATAAGATTTTTATTTCATAACAACAAATGTTCTACTTTTTAGGACTAAGTTCTTAGAAATAAGTTACTCTCTGGAGTTTAAGACTTTGCAGGTTTCAAAAAGGTGATGTAATATGAATATAACCAGTGTAACTCAACATCATGTACAACCACAAGAATGGGAAGTTATACTCCATGTATATATGATATGTCAAAATACACTCTATGGTCATATACAACTAAAAAGAATAAACAAAAATTGTTTTAAAAGGTGATGTAATCACAAGAGAAATGGTAGAATCTGGAAAAGAATGAAAAAGGACATTCTAGGTGGGAATGGACTTATAAAGAAAGGCTCAAAACAAAATGAGCACAGCAAGAAAAGAACCAAGAAAGAAGAAGTAAAACACATTTCTCTACCTTTCTCAGAAAATTTTTCGATTAATTAGAAAAAGACTTTTTAAAAATACCCCAAATATTACCACTAAAAATCAAAGGAAGTATTATCTGTCCCTTCCCCTCCTTATATTTGTTAGTGTGCCTCTGAAATTTTTTTGTACTCACAATACAAAGGGAAAAACAGTAGACTCACAAAAGGCAAAAGTGAGGCAGACTAAATAGCTTAGTTTTCCTTACCTACTGAGGATCTCATTCAAAAATTTATCTAACTAATCAACGTATTTCTATTTTCTACAGGTACAACAACCTCTTAGAATGCTGTTCCTTAAATGTACCACACAAACTGACTTTTAAAAAGTTACCATATTTACTTAGCATGAAAAAGATTTTAAAGAATTATTTTGACATCTTTCCCTTGTAATTCCAGAGTACTGTATATAATTTTACTCTGATAAACTTTGTGATTCAAGAATATCTTTTGATCAGTTTCTCCTAAAATGACAATGTTCAAAACTGAACCAAAACAAAGAAACAGTAATAATTTATTAATTCTCATTAACTTTTATAAGACAGTTAATTTATTTTCACTTGTTGAAAAACACAACTTCACTACCTATCTTATATAAATACCTACCTTTTAGGATTCTTGCTATGTGATCGGGACCTAAAAAGAGAATATCTATTTTTAGAAAAGTGACTATAAATTAAAAACATCAAAGTGTATATTTAGCACACACTTCCCCCCCCAAAAAAATGTACCACCAATTACAGACTTCCCCATCTTGCCATATGAGATCCCTTAACTGGATACCTGCTCTTAAATAAAAAATAATATGTTCCTGGAAACTAACACAATAGTATATCACACTCTTACTGCTTCAGAAACCATTTGCTAGCCTAGAAAAAATATGTTATTTATACTTCTGTCACTTGTTTTTCCCTTCTGGGAAAAGAATAAAATTTCTATGATTTGGAATGCATATATTTGGGGGCTACAAACTCATACTATAATCCCTATAATACCCAGCTCAACTTTACATATCTTCACATGACCCAGCATACTGTTAACACACAATGAGTAATCAACCACGTGTGTGTGTGTGTGTGTGCGCGTTTTGTGGTATTAAGGATTGAATCCTTGGCCTCACACATGCTAGGAAGGCACTCAACCAATTTGCAACATCCCCAACTTATTAACTTTTTTAATTTTTGAGATATGATCTCAGTAAGTTGCCCAGGCTGGCATCAAACTTGCAATCCTTCTGCCTTAGCCTCCCAAAAGTTACTGGAATTACATGTGTGTACCACTGTCCAGCAGACATGAGTTTTAATTCTGGCTCTACCACTCATCATCTGTGAGTGGGTCACATATATCCTCCCTTAGCTTATTAGTCTGACAGTGACAAAGAAGGATACAAAAAAAAAAATTTTTTTTCATTGGGGTATGTGTATATGAGGATTAGGCAAACTAATTAAGGCAAATTTCTTGGTAAGTCAATTTCTGCAAGCCTCCCTTTTAATTTTTTGCAGTGCTGAGAATCAGACCCAGGACCCTGGGCATTGCTACACAGGCGCTCTACCTCTGAGCCATAGCCCTGGCCCCAGTATAGTGAATTTCTTAGTACAATGCCTGGCATACAGTAAGGACCCAGTAAGTGATTAAGGATTGTTTTTCAGTTGTCCTTTTTAGCACCATAGTCAGAATCCCTTCTCATATAATCTTTTTAAAAATATTTTTTTTAGTTGTAGTTGGGACAATACCTTTATTTTATTTATTTATTTTTATGTGGTGCTGAGATTGAATCCAGCACCTTGCATGTGGTAGACGAGTGCTCTACCACTGAGCCACAACCCCAGCCCCTCCTATAATTTTTATACTAGCATTTAATTACACCACTTCTCTCAAGGTCATAGAGGAAAAATTTGCACATTTCTGAAAGAGGTGTACTTTTTATTTGCACTGGGAATTGAACCCAGGGGTACCTTACCATTGAGCTACATACCCAACCCTTTTTATTTTTTATTTTGAGACAGGGTCTTGCTAAGTTGCTTAGGGTCTCACTAAGTTGATGAGGCTAGCCTCAAACTTGCAATCTTCCTGAGTCACTGGGATCACAGGTGTCACCGCACCCAGCTAAAAGAGGAACACAGTTGGTGATTTTCTTTCTCATTATCTACAAATGTGAAAGCATATTCTTGCAAAAAATGTTTGTTCTCATTTGATTATCATCTCAGTTGAATCTTAAATTCAGAATTCCAATGTTAAATAAAATGCTATTTATTCTATCCTAAATATTACAATACTTAGTAATATCCCTGTAAGAACTTAATGTACACCAAAGAACAAACAGATAAAGGTCTGGGGTAAAATTTATGGTAAATGAAAAAAATATATATATTCATAGCTAGCTCTGTGTATACAGAGAGAAACGGGAAAAACTGACAGCATTTCCCCTAAAGAAACAATATCCACACAGCTTTGTTCCATTTTGTTCTTAAAGTGCACAAGGATTACCAGTTAAAAGTCAACACAAATAAAGTTTAAAATTTCTTTAATAGGCTCAAAGCTTAGAAGTAGTTAGCATGATCTACTCACATATTGTAAAGGGTTTTAATGAAGTTAGGCACATCTACTAACTCTGAGAGGTGTTAAAATTTTAGAGATACCATACACATTATGATTAAGGAAACATCACCTATTAGAACCGTAAGTTAATCACTTATGGCATGCCTGTCCATCATAAATTCATCTTAAAAAACTATGAACACAACTCACAAAGAACGTTGCCACAATGATGCTATGCAGTTTTAGTTGCCAATGGGTAAAAGTGACTCATATAATTCTATGCCAACCTAGTACAAATCTAGTGCAATATGAAAAACCAAAAAGCTAGAATACGGTTTTGTTATAAATCTTATAAGACCTAAAGACAAAAAAGCATTTTCTATTCACTCTTCTACACATTCTATAAATTGCATTTAGTTTAATGGCTAAGGTTTAATACAGATTGAGCATCCCTAATCTGAAATTCACAACTTTTTCAGCACAGATATGATGCTCACCAAGTTTAAAATTTGGGAGCATTTCAGGTCCAGAATTAGGGATGTTCAACTAGTAAGGTTTTTGCAGACACTTCAAAATCAAATAAAACCTCCCAAATCTGACACACTTCCTCCCAAGCACTTTGGAGAAAGGATACTCAGCCTGTATGTCTGTATAAAAACTGCCTTTCATGGTAATATTTTTAAAAAGTAAAAGCAATTTTCCAATGCTCCAGAAGAGACTTAATGTCATCTAAAATCATGTATCAGTCACATTTCTTTTTAGAACCAGGAAACTTAACTTCAAATATTTGGGACTATTTATCATGCCATACCTTCTCAGCTTCTCCCTTTCTTCCCTCTCCCTTTCTTCTCTTCGTTTCAGGCGCTCCTGGTTTCTTTTCTCCTGCTTCTCAGCTACAACTCTCTTAAAAACAATAAATAAGAAGTTTATTTACTAGGTCAATTATTAATTATCTTTACCTTAAACTTTACCATTTCTGGTTCCCAACATAGTATTATTAACTTCAAGATCTGTTGGGGAAAAAAAAATTCAATCTGACCCTGTCAGATGTAACTATTAAGCTCACACCCTACTTTCTATAAACTTCCTCCCTTTTATGGAAAATGTGCAATATCTCAAACTTTTCCATGATTTTTTCATGATATTTCAAAATTACTTCAATAAGACTTTTCTGAATGTTTCCCAGCATTATTTTTTATATATACTTATCATGAACATCAACCATCACAAATATCCATTCCTTATCATTTCCAATGAGGCAATGGTACCATTTCAATGCTGCTGCCTTTAAAGATATGAGTAAAGTGATACAGGATTCTGTTGCTAAGTCTGTTTCTGCAAAGAATCCCAAGTATGCAGTGTTATAAACAGAGCCCATCAACTCTCTGTTAAAATAAAACCCATTTTGACAGTTTTTAGAAATTGTGAGATTTATTCCAGCTACTCAAAAAAATGAAGAGGGGATAAATACATACTGAAAATATGGTTATGTCCTTATTTTTTTTCCCCTTCTCTCTGGTACTGGGGATTGAACACAGAGGTGCTTTACCACTGAGCTACATCCCCAGCCAATTTTATTTATTTTGAGACAGAATTTTGCTAAATTGCTGAGGGTCTAAGTTGTGAAGGTTGGCCTTGAACTTGCAATCTTCCTGCCTCAGCCTTTCCAGTCACTAGGTTTATAGATGTGCACTACCACACCTGATTTCCCTGGGTGTTTTCTGACTCCTCATTATTGTAAAAGTCAAGCCATGAATCTTGGGATCAATTCCAGTGATATAATTACATGGAAAGTGACTCTCCATTGTTGTCAATATTTGGGCCAGTCTTCAACTTGTGACAAAAGGCTACAATACCCTATTCTTTAAAAATAAGCCACATCAGATAGCTGAAAGGCAACTCTGAAAAGTAACTCTGCCTCTCTGCCTTTTACCACTTCAAAATACCTCACTTTTTTTGTGTATATATATTTGCTTATTCCCTCAAAAGCACTAGGGAGATAAGAACTATGCTGCCTTTTTACAATAACACATATTAATTAATAGTGAGTGTCCTCCTTTCATAGGCTGTTCTAATTCCTTCCTGAAACGGAGGAAGGTAGACAAAACTAGAGGTTCTATTTTTTTTAAAAAACTTTTTTTTTTTTTTTTTTTTTTAGTTTTAGGTGGACACAATACCTTTACTTGGTTTTTATGTGGTGCTGAGAATCGAACCTAATGCCTCACACATGCTAGGCGAGCGCGCTACCACTGGAGCCACATCCCCAGCCCCAAACTAGAGGTTCTATAGGCTTATATTTAGTAAAGAACTCCAAAATATTTCAACACATACTGGGCTCATTTTCTCCATTCTCCTATAACTATTATTGATTTTACTGAAAAGGATAACACCTTACATTTTAGGGTAAGGTGTTATTTTGTAGAAAAGGGTCAGTTTAGAAACCAATTTAAATGACTAATTCAACACAAAATGATACCTCCCAGAATAACAGAATAATACTGAAAAGCCTTTTTCTCAGACATCATCCATTAAACCTGCCTGAATCTCCATTTATAATTCTACACTATTCAGTGTGAACTGTTGACATAAATCACAACTGAGAATACTATTCCAAAGACAACTAATAGTAGATCAAAAAATAAGTAGCAAAATAGGACAGTCAGTGATATTAATTTACCAAAGTACCTTTAATTCTTCAAGCTTCTCTCTTATTTCAATAAATCCCAGGTGGAGTTTACCCCCAAAATGATCGGCCAGTCGTCTGTCATTATCATGAAGACCTAAGTAGGCAGAGCAGACTTCACAGACCCGAAGTTTCTGCTGTTGGAAACTGGAAGCTGGCATAGAATTCCGATAAACTTCCTAAACAAAAGTGAGGGATAAAACAAAAATAAAAACATAAATTTCATTAAAAGTCAAACAAAAGGCCATAGAACATTCTGGGGTCTCCAATGCCTTGCCAGATGTATCTTCACCAACAGCTGCCTACCACCCTCTCCTCATACCTCAGGGAGGGGCCTGAAGACCAAGAAAGGATTTTCAGAGCAAAGCAACCAGCTGAAATTGAATCAGTCTACACTGGCTCCATGAGAGTAAGACTCTACCTACACTGCATAGGAGAGGGAAGCCTTGGAGAGCACAGCTGCTGGATAATTGCCCTTGCTCTGAATCCCCCCACCACTTTTTTTTTTAATCTGCCTTTTAAAAAATCTTAGGACATCAGTATTATTACACAATGTGTGAGAAACAGAAATTTATTAAGAACCATCTCTACTCTCCTAGAAGTATGAAGAAAGGACAGAGAACAGCAGGGCAGGAGAAAGTGTCCCAGGGAAAAGAGCCTCTGATGTCTCTTGCAGGTGGAGACAGGAGACTCCTGGTAGAATCAAGCTCCTGGCCAGAATCCGTGCAGAAAGCCCGAGCCAGACTGCATGCATACCACATGCACGTCACAGTGATGCCCACACCAGGATCCACAGATCTCAGGGTCTTCTCACTGTCCACTGATTTGTCTGTCTCTGTATTTTCATTGGAGTCACACTGCTTCTAAATCTAGCACGTTTCTGCCCTTTTTCTCTGAATGCCAGCTCACAAAACCAAGGCATGCAACAACATAGTTGTTGAACGTAAATGGCTATCCTCCTAGTAACCCCCTTCTAGCCCTTGCTGTTGTCATGGACTGCCCTATAGAGATACCTTGGGAGGATGTGCTGTTGTCTGCCATGGCCCAACTACTGTGGATAGGAGATTATGCTGGGAGTGGAGGTCCTCAGGAAACAGACAGATAGAAGGCACACTGGCACATCCACTACCTTTCTGCCCTGACTTATTGCTTGGCCATCTCAGGTAGCTGATGCTCAAAGGGATAGAGGGAGGGTAGAAAGGGCAGGCTCACTGGCACTCCTTTAAGTGAACACTGAAAGGATATATAGGACCTGGCAAGGCCTAACTCCCCAACACATAGGCTTCACCTGGAATGTGTAAGCATGCCCGTGGATTATCTAGTGCTGGGGTACCAGGTATGTAGCCACTGCCTCATTGTATTTAGATTTGCCAGGGACAACCAGGTATTACAGGGCTCAAAACCCTCGTCAAGCATGATTGCCATAATTGTTGGGTCCAGGCTTAACAGAATAGCTGGGTAAATATTCCTCACCCTGGCTCTATCATGGGTGGCTCATTATTTGCTCTACTGTGGGCCTCTGCGTGGGGTCTACCATCAGTATTTGACTGGTCAGCATTCCATGCTTCCTTGGAAATGTGCAGGGGATTGTCATATCTTGCCTGCATGAACTTCTTCAGTTGCTTAGTGGTGTTTGCCATAAATCAGTGACACCCAGGCTCTAGACATCCACCATGGGGCCCTCATATTCTTTCCACTGGATGACTTCAGGGGTAAGGTAGAGGAGAGTGCCCTCAAACTCATTCAGCTTCTGCCCAGCCATTAATCCAGTGCTCTGGTTGAAGTGGACGAGTTTGAAATTGCCTCCAGCAATCTCTAGGATGTTCTCTATCTTAAGGTGTAGGTGCACAATGCCCTTCTTGTGGCAATAGCTCAGGACATATATGATCTGCCTGCATAGTCTTCAGGTCTCTTCCTCCAACATACCACCAGATCCAAAAGGCAGTGCCATAGCTGTTCCCCCATGTGCATGCTCCATGATAATGTAAGCTACCCTGCCTAATGCCCCTTAGGATCTGATTATGTCCATGAAGTTGGTCTTGTAGCACCTGGGCCCTTGAAGCACTACACTGTTCTGAATACTTTTCCTACCTATCACTGGAATACCAAATAAGGACACCAGATTAAAAGCAAACAAACAAAAAAACAAAATAAACCCAAGTTTAAAATACATATCGAAACACCACAACCATCAACCACACTATCTAGAAGTCCCACAGCTCACCACCACCAAAAGTTTTCTGTACTTAGAGACAAAAACAGCCAGTCTTTTATCCAGCCAGTGTTTGAAATTTCCTCACAATGGCTCCTTACGAGGTGACAGCAGGAAACGGCTCAGTTACTCCAGTGCCCATCTCAGTTTTTGGCCTCTAGGATCTTTCTGACTTTCATGATAAGAATAAAAAAGGACCAGGCTGATATGGTGACCCATGCCTGTAATCCCAGCAATCCCAGGAGGGTGAGGCAGGAGGGTCACAAAAGTTCAAAACCAGTCTCAGCAATTTAGTGAGGCCCTAAGCAACTCAGTGAGACCTGGTCTCCAAATAAAAAATAAAAAGGGCTGTGGACGTGGCTCAGTGGTTAAGCACCCTTGGGTTTAAACACTGGTATAACAAAACAAAATAATAAGAAATTGACTTAAGAAGCCTTTTGCTTCTGTGGGTTATGGAGACTGATATTTACTTGCTTAGAAATTAAAATTTGTAGAATTAAAAAAAAAAAGGTCAAACAAGGGGGCTAGGAATGTGGTTCAGTAGTAGAATGTTTGTGTACATGCACAAATCTCTGAGACTGACCCCTTGCCAAAAAAAAAGGCATGGAAGAAAATATAAAAAAGCATGGCTATTTTGTTATGAAAAGTATACATTCTCCTTTGTCCTCCTGTCCACTACATCCTATCCTAGACTACTTCCCTAGAGGTCAAAAGTCACAGGTCCACACACCTTTTGCCAAGAAACTACCTTAATAGTTCTACTATGATACAGAATACAACAGTCTGAAAAGGGTTTATCAATGTTCTTTTCTATAGTTTTTGTTAAAAACATGATGTGGTCAGTCTCTAAACTGCATACCAATGAAGGGTCAAGCAAACAGAAGCCAAGTATAATTGTAAAGGAGTACATGTTTTCCACATTGTTAGACTTCCTTCTCAAAGATTGTTTTCCCCTCCTCGGAAATGTGGATATGCATACACATGGTAAGTCTCCCCACTAAAAGGAATACAGTTCTACTAAGATAAGAGATAAAATGTGTCCCGAGATTAACTCACACATTTTCATTTGTATGAATTAATTCATTAAACAGTAAAAAATGGTGAGTTTCCCTATATATTGTCCTCTTTTTTCTTTACTAACAGGACTCTGACTTTTATTTGAGGTAGCAACAGACCCAGCTAAAAATATGACATTTTCCAAGCTTCCACAGAACTTTGGCTAAGATACTAGTGGAAACTGTCAGGCAGAATATATAGGAAAGTTCTTCAAAAGAGGATAAATAAATTCAGATAAAAACCCACCACTGACTGATGTAACCCTGCAGATAAAAATGAATGAGAAAGTGTATTTATACAGGCTTAAAAGTGTCAATACCAAGGTATTTACTGAAACGCAGTAACTTCCCAGAAAAAAAAATATGTACCATCACCAAAAATGGGGAAAACCACTAACAAATGTTTCAAAAGTATACATCCCTATAGTGGTATTCCTATAAAAATCTAATCATGAGAGGCTCGACATGTAGTTCAATGGTAGAGCACTTGCTCAGTATGTGCAAGACCCTCTTTTCAATCCTTAGTATATGAAGGGAAAAAAAAGAAAGGAAGGAGAAAGAACAAAACAAGAAAAGCAAGAAAGGGAAGAAAAGAGAAAAAGAAATCTAACTATGAGTAAATGTTAAGACAAACTCTAACTAAAGGACATTTTACAAAATAACTGATGAATACTTATCAAAACTATGAAGATTGTATTCTTCAAAGACAGACTAGAACAGTTCCAGATTAAAAGAGACTAAAGAGGCCTAACTAAATGACACATACAATCTTGGATTGGATCTTGGAGAGGAAAAATTTTCTTTCTTTAAGAATAAAGAATATGGGCTGGGGTTGTGGCTAGGCGGTAGAGCGCTCACCTCGAGTGTGCGAGACCCTGGGTTCGATCCTCAGCACCACATAAAAAATAAATAAGTGAAATAAAGGTATTGTGTCCAACTACAACTAAAAAATAAATATTAAAAAAGAATAAAAAATATTATTGGGACAATTGATGATATGTGAACAAAGTCTTTAACAGCCTTGTATAAATACTAATTCTTGATTTTCATAATTGTGCTGTGCTTATATAATAAAACATCCTTATTTTTAACACAAAGTATTTGGGTTAAAGAAGCATCTGTTTTCAGAGTCTCTTTATCATTAGGCAATATTTGCAGCCCTTCTTTTAAAAAATGATTTTATTATGAGACAGGGTCTCACCAAGATGTCCAAACTAGCCTTGAACTTGTAATCCTCCTGCCTCAGCCTACAGAGAGCTGAGATTATAGGTGTTAGCCATTGGCCTGACAAGAGGCATCTTAACTGTAACAAATAGACATAGTTTAGCCACATACAGGGAAAAAAATAATATAGTAAATGTTACTTTAAATGGGGTAAAGGATAGAGGAGAAAGTCTTTGTACTATTTTTTACTTTTGTGAAAATAAATCAAAATAAAAATTTTTAAATTAAAACATACATGTACAGATACATGAAGGCATGTCAACTCCATTTTAATGCTTTGATTTTTTTACTTCCTTCACTTAAGGCTGTAGTTTAGACCAATACTGCCACAAATTGATAAGCATCCAGATGAGTCCACACAGAAAGGATGGCTAAACATAGAACTAGAAATAGTCTGTATGTTGGATGGCATTATGGAGTCAAATTATGTTTCCCTAATCCTAAAATATTAGCTGAGAAAATTTGTAGCTTTTAAGCCACAAATTAGTTTTTTTATTATATAGAGCTGAGCACAATCTATAATAGAAAAGTAAAATTTTTAAAGTGTTATTCTTAGTAAAAAAAACTGATAATAATATATGCCTAAGAGGCTAAGCTACTATGTAATATTAGTAAACCTCTGAGTACACATATATTAAGATTCATAGAGCCAGGTGCAGTGGTGCACGCCTGTAATTCTAGTGGCTTGGGAGGCTGAGGCAGGAGGATTGTGAATTCAAAGGCAACCTCAGCAATAGCGAGGTGCTTAGCAGCTCAGTGAGACCCTGTTTTTAAATAAAATACAAAATAGGGCTGGGGATGTGGCTCAGTGGCTGAGTGCCCCGGAGTTCAATTCTCAGTACCAAAGAGGGGAAAAAAAATTCATGAAACTGGCAATTATATTGAAGGAAAAGAAATAATGCTCACTAGCTTGATTATCTTACGAGTCATCATGGAAATTAACTATAATTTAGCTATAGCCATAAAGTACTTTTCATTTAAAAATTACTGTTTATTTTCTGGATTGACAAAATTGCACTTACAGAAACCCTAAATATTTAGACACTGAAATTATCAAGAATGGCTACATGGTATATCTTTTTCTATCTTTCTATTATTATTGGCCATTTAAATTTAACGTAATTGTTGGTATACTGGGTTTAAATTTACCATCTTGCAATTTATTTTCTACTTGTCCTTTACATTATTTATTCCTTTGCTCCTGCTTCTTTTAGAGTATTTTTTTAGAATTCCATTTTATTACTACTATTATCTATAGCTCTTTTTTCTACCTCTAATATTGTCTGTAGGGCTTATGGTATACAATTAACAGAAACTTAATTTACAAGAAAGCCTAGGTAGTTATATAAATATTAGATAAAATAGAACTGAAATCAAGGGACATTCCCAAGGATAAGGGGGGATATTTGGAAATAATTAATGGGTCCATTCATCAAAAAGGCATAATCCTAATAAAAGAGCTTCAAAACAGATGATGAAAGCAACTGACAAAAGGGAAAAACACAGATATACATCCACAATTACTATAGCTTGAAATTTATCCACTCCCCTCTCAATAAACAGCAAAATAGAAAATCAATAGGAAAAGCTGGGCATATAGTGGCACGCACCTATAATCCCAGCTATGCGGGAGGATATCAAGTTTGAGGCCAGCCTGGGTTACTTGGTGAGATCTCTCCTCAGAATAAAAAATAAAAAGGGCTGGGGATGTAGCACTGTGGTGTTCTACCCAGTGCTCTCCCACTGGGCTAAATCCCATAACCACCACCCCCGTCCCCACCCAAAAAAAACCTTTCACAAATAAAACTCCAGTCCTAGATGGTTTATGGTAAATTCTACCCCAAGAAATAATACCAATTCTAGAAAAAAACATTTTCAGAAAGAGAAAACACTTTCCAACTCGTTTTATAAATTGATATTACCCTGATACCAAACCAAAGACAAAGTTTTTACATCAATAAGTGATTAAGAATTAAGACTGATTAGAGGGGCCAGGGATGTGGCTCAGTATTAGAGAGCTTGCATAAGGCCCTAGGTTTAATCCCCAGTACAACACAAAACAAAACAAAAACAAAAAAAGACTTAAGACTGGTTGGGAAATAAGATACTGGGCATAAGTCTTTCTTCAACTCTCTCCTTTCTGTGGAAAACATCTAACATGTATTAGTTTCTTCCCTTCCTTTAAGTAATATTTTTATTATAATCACATAATATCATAAGGAATATTGAACAATATTTTCTTGATGTTCAGGATCATCATTGTAACGATAGCATTATAGGAGAACTATGAGGAGCAGTCACCATAGTTTTTCCTTTTCTCCTCCCTCCCTCAATTCTTGCCTTTCTGCTCTGCTGACCAGCAATATTAAGGGAGGTTAAGGAAAGATGATAAAGGAGATAAAGATGATAAAGCTGTGATAAGAACTTCTCAGGAGCCACCCTACAGTGTTAGAACTGAGATAATGATCCATCAGACCACAACTTGACCAAGTCCGCTTAACAATGCATAACTTCTTCCCCAATGCCCCATTCTCCTTCTATTTAAACCTTCAGGTCATGTCAGCATCTGGAAAACATGCCTAAAAACATGTCTTCCCAGTGTGGCTACACTAAAAGTTATTTTCCTGCTTTTTTGCAATTACCCTTTGGGTTTGATATTTGGGCTGAGTGGCCAGCCCTGGATTTTGTACCTCACCTGGGACTCCTATAATACTTTTAGTTCATATTTTGTGGGAAATCAAAAAAATCACTATGAAATTTAAAAAGAAAAAAAAGGAAGAAAGAAAGAAAGAAAACTTCCCAAGAGCTAAGGATATGGCTCAGTGGTTGTCTGCCTAGCATGTGTGAGGCCTGGGTTCCATCCCAGCACCACAAAAATTTTTTAAATTAATAAATAAAATGGCTTACCTATATTCTGCCTTTCCTCTCCAGTCTGAAGATCATCAATGATACCAGAAAAGAAGGAAAGAAGGAAAAAGAACAGGCACCCTAAAGCAGTTTGAGTGATAGGGCTTTCCTTTTCATTTTTGATCTGGTCACAAAAGACCCTGTCCTCTTTAACAATTAAACCTCACTGGTGAGAAGTTTAAGGAAAAAAAAAAAAAAGATTAGGGTTGGGGAAAGATGCATGGGGTTGAGAAAAAAAACACTGAAAGTAGGTAATCATAAGTCAGACTACCTATAGAAGCCATTCAGATTACTGTAAAGCAAACCAGATGTGATCAGTTAGGAACAGTGGACACAGGTAAAAGAGTACAGTATAATCCCTACCAAAGACATTTGATTTCCTAAAATCTATCAGATGTTCCAATCAAAACAGAACTTTACAGGATATCAGATTTAGACCTGTGCTGAGAAAGAAGAATGAGGTTGGGGATGCAGCTCAATACCAAGACACCTGCCTTATGAAGCCTGGAGGTTCCATCCCAATCCCAAACACCAACAAGAACTTAAGAAAAAAGAATGAGAGAAGGCCCCAAGGCATTAGCACATTAGACTAAGGTGGGAAGAGAATCAAGAATACTATAGCATGGGAGTGAATGAGGGATAGGTTGTCACAGTAACCAAGAATCTGCAGAGTATGCATGTGTCTGTGTCTATAACTGTTGAGTATATGTGACTAGATAGTTTAATACACCTACAAGTTACAAATTTCAATAGATCCATGGCTCCAACTTCCCTAAAACTACTAATTTTGACATAAAACCCAACAGCATAGCACAGACCACTTAAATATTTTCAAATTGGCTTAAATTCCCTTTTAAAACTTTGTAAAAATTTCTAGTCAAATATACCACATGAACAGACACTAAGGTTATACTACTATTAAGAACTTACCTCTGCTTCTCTTTTCTTTGCCCGTGCTTTCTCTACTTCATCCATTACTTTCTGGGATTCTTCCACATTCCCTTCAGCTCCTAGTTGTTCCACCTTGGCTAATAATTTACCAATTTCTTCATTTAATTCATGAACACGTTCTGCCTAGAAACAAACAGAAAAGAAAATCATGAAAAAATAACAGAATATTAAACTTCAAAGTATTTCAGAAATGCTCAGAAAATATTTGTTATCTAAGAAAATATGATCACATCCACTGGGACACTAGGATATTCTGAGGCTGCCTGCCTACACCTCAGTGAAGGTCAAAGATACTAGCAAGCAACAGAACTGCTACTTTGTAGCCTGTGCTTAGGTATACTCAAGTGTAAAACACCTTTCCTCCCATGATCATGCTGCACTTCTCTATGTTCCCAAATCATCTCTTGCTATTTCCTCTCCTCATAATATAAACTATTTTATCTTTAGTTTTCCAGACTTACCCTGTTTCTGCTTGTTTTTGCACAGACTGTTCCTCTTCCTGGTATGTCCCCTTACCTGTCTAATGAATATCTACTCATTCAACAAGATCTGATTCCAAGAGTGTTTTCTGTGAAGCATTTCTGAAAAATCATCACATGCCAGCCCCACTGAAACATGTAAGCACAAATGACCATATTCTCCTTTGTGTCATTTTTCACAATTACTTTTATACATATCATATAACTTAAAGATAGCTGTCTGAATTTCCCATCTTTGTATCTCTAATGTCCAAGAAATATAAGTTCAAATATGAATTAAAGAAATGAACTAGTGGATGCTCTGTAAAGCTAGAGGTGAACATACTTTAAAAGTCCCATATCTGAATTGCTGCTAAACCAATTACTGAATGTGAAATTGTAACCAGTTAGATACACCTGAATCCATTTCCTCATCTGAGAGGAATAATACCTGTCCCATGAAGTTGTGAAAAACTAAAAAAATGCTTTGTATATATACTGCACAGCAGTATTATTTTCGTAACACTTGCATGTCACCCTCCCTCCATGAGTCCATATTTTTCCATTGTTATTCATTTTTGACTTAGGTTTGATATATTCTTCTCAACATCATCCTGGGAAACTAGTTCCCTCATATTGTTTTAATGGCACATGATAGTCTTTACTTTGAATCAAAATAAGTATTCAGTCTCTATGTGGCCAACCATATTAGCAAATAAGGTTTTTATGTGATATGAACATCCAGTCTCAACAAACTAGATGGTCAATAATCTTTACATCTCAAAGTTCCTTCAACCCAAGATGTTCCTTCTCTCAAAGACATTCCCAACTCTGTTATCACTATTTTTCCTCTTTATCAAAGTAGTACTTTCCTTTAAAAATCTTTCCCTGTTTAACTGCATTAATGCCCAGAGCTTCACCCTCTCCAGTACCCCTGCCTTCTGCCATGTTAACTAAGTACCATTGTCTTCTGACTCAACTTGGCCATGCAATTGCTTCAGTTAAAGGAAGGACAGTTAATATGACCCAAGGAAGTCCTGAAAAACACTTCTATGACTAGGTGTAATGTTTCTGCACATCTTTCACCATTATGAAAATATGGCCAGGCTAGCCTTCTGAGGATGGCTCAGTAGTCTCCAGCTGACTATAAAACATGTGACAGGAAAAATAGTCAAGTTTAATCTACATAATTGACAACACACTAATGAACTAAATAAATACTGACTTGTCTAAGTCATTGAATTTTGAGGTGGTTTTGTTTTAGAGCACTTTTGTAGTATACAATGCTGTGTAACTAATACACCTTAGGCTCTACATAGCATTTGTCAAACTCTTTTAACCATGAAATACTATATCCCTTATAATTCAGAATGACTTTTTTTTTTGGGGGGGGGTACTAGGGATTGAACTCAGGGACACTGGACCACTGAGCCACATCCCCAGCCCTGTTTTGTATTTTATTTAAAGACAGGGTCTCACTGAGTTGCTTAGCACCTTGCAGTTGCTGGGGCTGGCTTTGAACTCACTATTCTCCTGTCTCAACTTCCAGAGCTGCTGGGATTACAAGTGCATGCAACACTCCTGGTTCACAATGGCCACCTTAATAGTTCCTTATCTTTAGAGAACTCTGCTTAAAAGGCCAGTTGAAAGTAAACCTTTTTTCAAACAAGGGAATCTATTTCCCTTTGCACATACTATCCAAACACCATATATGAATCCTGTCATATGAACTTTACCTTAGGAACACTCTTGAACTGCATTTTGGCAAAAGGCAATGGATTATACAGAATGGTACAAAATTTATGTTGTAAAATATTAAGTTATCAAATCAACCAAATGCAATAAATAGGACCTTGTTTGGATTCTGATTATTACAAACTGACTCACAGGAAAAAAGAAGCATATTTGGATATCAGATAGGATTAAAGGCTTAATGAATGTGATGTTGTAGTTGTTTTATAAACAGACAAAATGATACGACACCTAGAATTTACAACAATGAAACAATAACAGAAAACCAATCGCTTTGAAACTCAGTGATGGATTCACTGGGTATCATTATCCTTTCTCCCTACTTGTTGTGTTTTTTTTTTTTTTTTTTAATATTTATGTTTTATTTCTCGACGGACACAACACCTTTGTTTGTATGAACATCTTTGTTTGTATGTGGTGCTGAGGATCGAACCCCGGGCCGCACACATGCCAGGCGAGCATGCTACAGCTTGAGCCACGTCTTCAGCCCTTGTTGTGTGTTTTTAAAGTAATGATTCAATACTGTCATGTATAACTAAAAAGAACAATAATAAAAAGTAACAAGTTAGGCAAAACATGAAGAACACTCAAAACACAACATTAAAAAAACTAGCAATTGGGCTGGGGTTGTTGCTCAATGGAAGAGCACATGTAAGACACTGGGTTTGATTCTCAACACCACATATAAATAGATAAAATAAAAAATAAAGGTTCATCGACAACTAAGGGGAAAAAAAACCCCTAGCAATCCTATTAGAAAATGGGCAAAAGAATAAAACAACACATTTACTGAATGAAGAGTGCATGCAGATGGCAAGCATACACCTGAAAAAAAAAAACAAAAAAAAAAACTCATCATTAGTCATTAGGTAAATGCAAATTGAAACCACAAAAAACCACTACATTACTCTCATAACAGATAAAATGAAATATGATGACATCATCAAATGCTGGAATAGATGTAAAGAAACTACAGCATTCACACTTGGTGGCAGAAAAGTAAAATTGTACACTCACTCTAAAACAAATTTGGCAGTTTTTTTCAAAAACTAAACATGGGCCAGGCACTGTGGTACATGCCAATAATCCCAGCAGCTCAGAAGGCTGAGGCAGGAGGATTTTGAGTTCAAAGCCAGCCTCAGCAAAAGTGAGGTGCTGAGCAACTCAGTGAGATACTTACTATCTCTAAATAACATACAAAAATAAGACTGAGAGGTCAAGTGCCCCTGAGTTTAATCCCCCCCTGTAAACAAAACAAAAAACTAAACATGGACTTACATTATGACCCAGTAATTGCATTCTTAGGTAATTTATTCCACGTAAATGAAAACTTGTGTCTACACAAATATCTATATGCAGATGGGTACTTCAGATCTGCTAGTATTAGCCAGTAAGTGAAAACAACCTTAACGTTCCTCAATGTGTGAATGACTCAAC